GCGTTCAAGCGATCTTCTTCTGCTCAATGTTCCATTTGCCAGAACTGAACTGGGAAAAAGGGCTTTTACTTATGCTGCCCCTTCCACATGGAATATGATGCAAAAAGACTGGAAGATAGCAGAACTTATTTCATTAAATGCTTTTAAGTCCAGATTGAGAGAGCCAGAGAAAAATGTTTTTTAAAATGTAATTGTTATTTATAATATGTATGTAACTTTGTAATTTTAACGTGTTGTCGCCTCTTGGCCAGGACTCCCTTGAAAAAGAGGTTTTTAATCTCAATGGGATTTTTTTCCTGGTTAAATAAAGGTTAAATAAAAAAAAAAAAAGCTACAATGAGACAGTGGCGAGAGCTAAACCAAAACCTAAAAATGACTGTGTGCACGACTCGTACAGGTGCATGAAGAAACTATGAATTACATGAATTCGCTAACATGACATGCATGAACTCCTCCACCCGCTACACTTAACCTGACCTGAGGGATGGAACACAGACAATGCGCTGACAAACACGGGGCTTAAATACACTGAGGGATAACGAGGGGAACGAGGCACAGAAGGAGAGCACAGCTGGGAGTAATCAGACAGGACAAGACCAAGGTGAAGCAAAACTCAATACATTGACATAGGACACAGACTTTCAAAGTAAAACAGGAAACATCAGACACGGATTTGACTAGGAGATAAAGCTGATGGGGAGACAGCAACCATGGAACCCAGAACACAGGGAAGCCACATAACAAAGCCAAAAACTAGAACTGAAGAAACACTAAAAGACTAAGGAACTTAACACCATGTGAAGAAACCAAAAGTACAAAACTCATAAACCACTGGGTCACCAACCCAGCACCATGACATTAAATTAATGTTTGCTAACATTAGCCAGCAGAAGGTCCATGAATATGACTGTTACCCATCCTTCTTCTGCTAACACTGAAAAACTGCAAGGTTTGACTTTGGCTAATTCACCCAAGCTGGTCATGTTCAAATTATTTTAATCAGTTAATGTTAGCCATAATCACTAAAGTTATATAGCGTAGCTAAGCTAAAGCTAGCTGGCTAAATATAACATTCTGGTGAAAAAGTCATACCTGAGCAGAAATGCTAGTTGGCTAGCTCGCCAAATTACTTCAGCAACTAGCGTGACTGTGATACTAACTTCTGTTAAACAGTTTTTCTTTCAGCATCACTAAATCACATCATTTATCTTCTACAGCAATAGCTAACATGGGGGAGTTAGCCTGCTAGCGGACATTGGTTCAAATATTTTGCTAAGCTCTGAAGGGGAAAATGACAACATCATGCTGCGGTACATTAGGACTAAAACACTCTGTAGGGGGTATTGTGTGTTCTCGCTCAGTCTGAAATGACTGAAAAGTGCTCAGCTGTCAGCGTGTGATGGTCTGAACTGTGGGATTAGCAGAACATCCTGATCTGCTGCCTTCCACTTTGAGAAAGTGGCATTACATAATGACATTTCCAGCTGAGTGGGGCGATACAGGCGTTCATCTACGTGACTGCATGAATCAGAAGAAATCTGCGTGTGGGTGTACACCGGGATTAAAGCGGCACTCGACCCAAAGAGTCAGCAGTCACATCTCTGTATGAGGGACCTGATTTTTCAGGCAGCAAGAGGACGTCAGGATTAACAGATAACGCACGCCAGCGGCCTTAAATCATGAATGAAGTTTAAAATGTTTTGCAGGAATTAGAAATATTTATCCTCACCCTGAAAGGGACGATTCAGCTTATAATTAAAGTCTCTAAAATGGCTTGACATCAGTTGTTTAACCCCTAAAGCTTCCTCACCTGTGCATAATCACTCACAAAGTGGTCCTTCGTTTCCATCAACAGGGCCCCTTCACTTAATGAGCCATTCAGTCTGATTGGCAGGTTAATGCACACCTCTGCTAAACGAGTTCATTCTTCTCCTGAAGGCTTGCACTGCTTCCACAGATGACAGTGAGAAGAACTAATGAGTAATAAATGAAAAACTATCTCACTCTGCTGCTGGTTACAGCCTCCTCACTGCTGCACAAAATGTTTCCTTCTGTACATTTTGTCCCAGAAAAGTTGGTGTTTCCAAGAGAGAGTGAAATAAGATTAATGTGAGACTGTCAGAGACGGAGAGAGAGATGAAGTGTTGTTAGCTGTAGGCTGAGTATAATCTGGG